TCGAGATACTTTGCCATACGTACATTATTTAAAGCATATGCACTAATAACTATAACAATGTGAAAAAATTGTCGCTAATGTAAATATTAACGACGTGAGAGAAGTCAAAAAATTACATTTTTGTATTTTTTGAAAAATAACAAAAGAATAGAGCAATATGGCTCTCTATGTCGTATCATAGAGTACATTAAGCATTATCCCTACCAAAAGTTCAAAGAAAAAATTTGAAGTCTTTTTGGAAAAATCTTGTTTATGTAATTTTTAAAAAATGTATACATTGTAGTTTCACGGCTTGCAGCAGCTCTGCGCTGAAGCGCAAGGTAGAGGGTTGAGGGTTCTAAAAATAGCCGCCTGAACAAAAGGCTGGAATTTCCAGAAGATTGGACCGCATGCAAAGACAACGTCAAAGACATGTTTCCATGGAGCGCGTGGGGGGGGGGAGAAATGACGTGGAGGTCCTGTGACTCGCGCCTATATAACGTCCCGTCGTGATGGCGCGTGTTGGTAACAACCCTGGTTTCCTCGTAGCGAGTCCACAAAACTTTGTCCGTCCAGGGTGGTGCGGAGTACCGATGGCACATGGTGGTACGATGTGTTCGGACCAGGTGACGTGTTTCTCGAACACTATCAGGTAGATTATCGATCTGTCGGGGCACACCAGGTGCCAATTTGCCAGGTGGCCTAGCAGGCCTGTCGCAGGCGTCGCCGCAAGGCGCATGTAGGGAGAGGAGGGCTGCAGTTGTAGCTCTAACAAACCGCCTTAATAGTGAGAGTTTGTATATATGTACATCTATGTAAATAAACTTGTATATACTAATTCGTATCTGTGTTCCTTGTGGCGTAGATCCCTACCCACGACGTTACAATGTTGCACGCAATTTTGCGCGAAATCTGCTAAAATTAAAAAACAATGTACATGACCTTAAAAAAAGACGTAATTAAGAACAAGAAACTTCATTTAAATGAAAAATCTCTATCTCCAATTTTGTAGTTGTAGGTAAATGCCGAAAAAATTAAAACTTTCTAAAATTAAGTTTTCGAAAAGTTGAAGTTAACCCTGGATATCGGACCGATGTCATCCTTATAAGTGTGTTTTTTTCTGTTCTTACAAGAATTTAAAAATAAAAATTGGAGCCGCTTTTGAGGAAATTTTGAAAATGTTCCACCCGTGACCCGATAATATCCATTTTGCAAAAAATCATACGTAAGGTATAGACAAATGGCTAATGGTGTCCACAGGCTAACTGACTATACGGACAGACATACTGCCGGACGTTTTGCCGTCAAATGGTTTTTCGGTATCAAGAGCCCACTGAACAGGGATTCTGGTTACATCAAGTATTAGAGGATTTTGTCTTAATTTTGCAACACGATTTATCCACCTTTTCGTTATCTGGACCCGGCAATGAATTTTTGTGCCAAACATCCGGCGTTTCCCCTCAGCATTACATAACTTTCCCTATTCTGTTATACGTATATTACTCCTTCGTATGCGTATGTATGCGGGAAAGTAAACATATTGAACGGTGTGTGAAGCATCGTCCCTAGGACGATGCGGGGGCGGGGCGGGCGGAGGAAGGGGCAGGTGAGGCGCAGCGGAGCGGTAATACCAGGCAGTGACTCCTCCCTTCCCACCCCCCACCCCCAGCCCGACAGCTGGGCAGCCGGCCTTTGAAGTGGGCGAGGTGGTGTTTACGATCACAAACCACCGCTCCAAGCAGGTTACTACTTGCGCATCGCGTTGTTTTGACTGCCCAACTCAAGGTGTTTTGTCTCTGCATTGACCGATTTCTCTCTGGCAAGTATTTTCTTTCCTGACAACCAAATTCTGACCATTTGGTTACCTACCTGCCCTGAAAATGTTACTTTAATGTTGTAGTTTTTTCTTGCTGTATGCATGTTATTTCATTTTGTGTCAATCGGCACTCAGTCGTTTTGAGTGATCTTATCTGTTTTTGTCTTTTCCAATTAATCATTAATCATACTATCTCTTGAATAATTCGTTAATAATACCTCAACATTTGTCATGCTAAAATTATAGAGGTGAGGGGGTTTATATTGGGTGAAGAGGTGGTCCCATTTTTTAAAATTAAAAATCTCGAATGAAAATTCAAATCGACCCCAAGATATAGATATTTACCACAGTGGATACTACTACTTTAGATGAACGGCAGCAGCGTTTTAACGACGAGAAAAATGCCAATGAGACGAGAGAGACGATCATGTGATGTTGATAGTTCGGTGCATCTACCAAAATATTTTGAATGTACCATATTTAAACCAATGTACTATTCTTTATATTTTTACGTGGAATATATTGATAGAACAATCACATTCGTGACCCCGGACATATTGATCGATGTAAAATATTACAAAACCGCAACACAAAAAATACCAAACATTTTGAATCTACTTCTCATTCACAGGTGATGCCGACCGCATTACTGGGTCCAAAATTTCCGAATTTTGGGCGGATAACCCTGGTATATGGTTTTGTCAAATCGAGATGTATTGGATCAAATTTAAGTTGTTTCTCATTACGGATAATAAAACAAAGTATTCCTATATAATTTCAGCGTGAGATCAATGTGAATTCACAGATTACCCTCCCACGTCATCTTGGAACATCTCAAAACTGAATTAGATTGTGGACTTTCTGTTTCAGAAGAGAAAAAAGCCTCTTGCCAACAGCTTAGAGTGTATCGACAAGCCTCGGACGAGCCTGTAGCACGGCGGTTGTAAATATGTCGCAGTTGCTATCGAGTTGTTTGTTTGTACAAAGGAACAACATGGCTACAACAAATTTACAATCAGCTCAATCCAAGCCAGCGAGTATATTTAATTGACTTTCATCTAACATTCATTTGTTACGCTAGTCTCGTACAAGTTTTCATCACGGAAGATGGCAGTGGTGGTTCTTCCCCTGGAGCGTAGTAAGATTTGTGGTCGACCTACTAGGGCTTCCGAGGTTTTCCCCATCCAGGCATCTCTTAGTAGTGGTGCATCGCCCCAGCCGGGTCGAGCTCTAAGCTTTCGACTGGTAATGAAGGGTAGTATAGTGCACGTAAGTGAAAGTGTGTGTACATAATTGATGAGGGTCGTACAAGAAAAGATCGCAGGCGGTCCGTGGTCCGTTTGTCAGGGAACTACTTCGGCATATGCCTACTATTGATCGGAGAAACCAGGTAAAACATTCGAACAGAGCAGCCGACCGCTAGAATTCTCCTCCAGAGAGAGGCTAAATTCGATCTAGCCATGTAGCTAATATTGAAAATACGCCACCGTCGAGACTCGAACTCTTAAGTCCTCTCTTTCCAATGACATCAGTTGCCCTGAGCAATTTCAGCCAGTGCGGAATATGAATTTACAGTGCAATAGAGATGGCTCCACACATTCTTTCTTCTTCGAGTAGCGAGCAACTGCTCGCCGAATCGCGAGTAGTGTGGATGAGTTGCTTGCTGTTTGCCGTGTGACGAACATTCCGTGCTCGCCCTACCGCGCCGCCGTGTGTCGGTGTTTAGGACACGTCAAAGCGAGCGAACGTTCGCCGAACGCATCAGCTGTTCGGGGCTAGGCGAGCGGTAACTCGTTTGCTCGGCGACTGGCGAATGTGGAGCCGCGTTAAAGCGAATGCCCCCGAAGGCCGAGCACTCGCGCCCCCGTGGTGCGGTCGGAAGGAGGCGGAGAGGAAGCCTCGCCCAGCACTGCGAGGGGGAGGGGGGGGGAGGCGTGGCTCGTTCACGTAGCCTTTGTGGAGCAACTATTTTCGTATTTTTCCTTCCTCCATGCCTTGCGCTCTGCTCTGTGTCAACAGGCTCGGTGATGTTTGTGAATTTCGAAGGCGCACAGATATACTTTACCTTCATATTTTATTTTTCAAAATAACAATAACGTGAATGTTAATACTCTGAGTGTGCGAAGTTTCACATTACGTCTTACTAGTAGAAAGTGGTATTTTGTAGTATATTCTGTTTTCATAAGTTGAAAAAGGGAAAGAAAACGTCATAGTCTGATCACAATGTGCAATGCGTTGAGAGGAAATTTTGTGGTTTTAAAAGTGAGAACATGGTATATTTGGATCATTATTTTAAGCTCATTATTCTTGGAGAAATTCAGTAGTTTTTACGTCTCAATGAAAATTTGTATTAATATAAATCTGTTTTAAAGAAAAGCAATAATTCGTTTCTAAATGAATAATACCAATTAAAATGTCAATTCTTCCAATTTTAATTGGTTTCGTTCACTTACAAATGAACTTCCTAAAAGATCTAGTGGAGCATAATCTGCTACCTTTCTTAGTAAGTTAAGAAGATACATGTGTAGATAAAAAATAAAATTTGTACGTCCCAGACACTTTGTGGAGCTGTGTTTGGGTCGCTCCTTAGACGAATTTGATTCTCTCTTTGCGCAAGGAGTCACACATATTTTAGAAGAAAAGTCTTTCGGAAGCGTTACATCCTCCGTGCAACCGGGTTGGTTTTGGGGCCAGGTAGATGAACAGGCATATTGAAGCCAGTGCAGGTAATATGCGTCTAAAATGAGGTCGTCAAAATCATGAGACCAAATGAAGAGATTCAAAAGAGCAGAAGAAATAATAATAATAATAATAATAATAATAATAATAATAATAATAATAATAATAATAATAATAATAATGATAATCCCTTGTGGTGTGCGCCACGGATTCTACCCTGTCGTAATATGCGACTAACAGAAGCAGCTATCCACTGTCCCTCCATCTAAAACTGATTGATCTTTCACTCGCCATTCCTTTTTCCGCTGTTCCCTCTATTCCTCTTCCCAAATGTTACCTTAGCTGTCCTTTAGCTGTTTTTCAGATTCTGTTTCCAAAATATTTCGTATCCATTTCAGCTTTACGTTCACGTTACATTCCTCGAAGACCAATGTGGGGACTGAAAGAACAGCTACGGCACGTGGGCAAAGCCACTTTGAGTGTCGACTATCAGGGCAATGGAAACTGCCAAATCGGATGCCTGTCTATTCTTCTGGAAGCTGGGAGGTGACCTGTGCTCCTGACTGCCGGGAATGGAATTGGGGAACCAACTGGCAAGTGGGATATGGGACAGCACCCGAAATAGCCAAACGCATGTTTTTGCGGGCTGTAGGTGCCTGAGCATCGACTTAAGGTGTTGGGTGATGGTGCACAAATGGGACTCGGTGTCCGAGGTGAGAGGTTCTTCCACTCTACCACTTCCGGTTCATCGGTGAAGTGAAAAGGGAAAAATCCTTGATTCTGACAAAATCATTCTGATGTGTGGTACAAATATACAAGAACTTGGGCAAGAGGGTACTTATAAATATTTAGAGGTACATCAACTTTTGAGCACAAGTGAAGCAAGGACGAGGCATTATATTCAAAATAAAGTCTTGCAAAGAGTCACAAAAATCTGTAATTTTTTTTTAAATGGAAAGAACGTCATATCATCTATCAAAATTTGGGCAGTACCTGTGGCTGTCTGTACATTTAGGTTTCTTCACTGGACAAGAACTGCACTGCTGGAATATAGTGGAAATTGAAAACCACTCTTACCAAGTATCGCATGATCGATCCCAACAGTTCAATGGCAAGTCTTTTCTTAGATTTATTATATCTGCAGGTATGTTTATACAACATGGAGGCAGAACACTACAATTAAAATATTACAATTAGCAATTTTGATACAATGTAACTTTAAATCATTTTAAGACAATAGTAATAATAATATGCTAACAATAAAGACAATAATAACAATAACAGCATTAACTCTACATTTTATGACAGTCCTGCACAGATATTTTAACTAATAAATACACTTTTTAAATACACTTCACTTCACATCACTTCACTACACTTGAACTTCTCTTTCTACTTCTCTATTGCACTACCCTTCACAACACGTCACGACACTTCAACTCAACTACTACTTATAATTTTATGTGTGTGTCCAGGCCAGGTCAAGTGACTGCCTATCAGACAAAAGGAGGCCCGACAACATATTAAGAGATATCCAATGACATTTGTCACCTCAGTGTAAAGCGCTCAGTATAGCCACCTTTCTGTGATTTGAATGCGACTGGAAATGTATCCCTTGCGAAGTTACAAAGAATATCACTCTCCTCAAGTACAACAGAAAACATCCAATGATATACACGGAATTCTAACCCACACTTCAGTGTCAGAGTGTATTGACGCAAATACTTCAAGCCTTATGTACGTACAATAATTTTGATCTGAATTTCATGTTAAGCTAGATAATAATGTTAAAACTAGGCAGTAGTGTTTATTCATGTAATTGATAAATTAAAAGGACGGCTTCTCGAATATTTTGTTATGAAGTATTAGTGATTAATACAGTTATAAGACAAAATGAATATAAATCGATTTTGTTTCAAATTTATTTTTAATTACTGATATGTAACAATTTGTGTTGAATGAACAAAAGCGTATTGTAAAGGATGTAGGCACACAGGTTGGATCAAACTTTCATGGACTTGTCTACGCCGAGTCTGTGCCGCTTCTTGCGGCATAATGCACTTGTTGAAACTTCCATACAAAAGGCCTTTGCACGAGAAGACCTGCTTGGCTCTATCGGATAAGGCAGTACGCACTCGGACGGTCGTGGGTGGCTCCTGTGAAAGGACGAGAGTGGGGCGGGGCTGTGTGAGCGGCGGAGGGCGCTGCAGATGTGTGCCATTGTGATCGAGAACGAAGGCGCCATTTCCCCCCACCCACAGCCACATCTCGTCCTGAAAAGAGAGTGCACCAAAGAATAACTAGGGGTGCTAAAAAACCACATAGTTTCTCGCATCATTTCTAACTGATCCGCTATATTATACTAATATATAAACTTACGTTGTTGGTGGATGAAAACATTTTTGTATTTCCACTCTGCGGTCCGGACTCAGCTTCTCAGAGTTAATTGCCAACACCACTACACCACAGAAGCGTCGTATGGCAAGAACCTTCGTAAGAGCGAGAAAAAAATAATATTAGGAACCGTTAGGGATACCACGGTAAAATAAACTAGTGGGGCTAAAATAGCACGTACTTTCTCGCCGTATTTTCAAGCAAAATTACGCGAAAAGTACTCAAATTTTCGAAAAAATATGCATGACCTTATTTCAAAAATCTATCCTTAAGAAACAGATTTCATTAATGGAAAAAATCCCGATTATTAATATTTTAGTTGCAGGAAGATTGTGAACTTTTGCATTTTTCGAAAAATCAAGGTTGAATTGAATTGAATTGAATTTGCCTTATTCTTCTTCAAGGTTCTTCACACTATCCAACAAAAAAAGTAATTATAAAACAATGGAAATTTTTTTTTTTGAAAAATTTGAAAACTTCCCAGGGGTAATGTAATTTACTCCGAGAATTAAAATATAGGTTTCAAATTCAAGGGACCGCGACATCAGTCTCATCGATTGGGGAATATCAACTTTGGAGAAAATCGACTGAACGTTGTTTAGCCACTGGCGTTGTTCACAGATGGACGAACGTTTTGTCGTCATTCGGTTTTTCGGTATCAAGGATCCACAAAACATGGATCCTGGATGCACCAAGTGATAGAGGGCTTTCTTTCTAAACCTAGCAACTGGATTTATCCACTTTTTCGTTACCTGTAGGTTACAAAAGGGCCCTGTAATAAGAGTTTTATGCCGAAAATTCGTCGTTTTTTCGCGCAGCATTACATAACTTTCGACTCCGTAGCAAGAGAGTAAAACTAATTTGGTGCCATAGATAGATTTTATAATGTATTTAAATTTCTGGTTTATAGATTCATTAGTGTACTTTATTCTGTTCAAACAGATGAGAGACAAACAATTAATTTGACGTGGCATACGTTTTAGAAATCGCATAAGACAATGAAAAAATGTTTAAAAGTTGTTAGACTTACAGACATGGTTTGTTTATGTCTATTGATTATATTTGTAAGTTTGTGTGTTTCAAACAATTTTCAATAAAGTTTCTCGAATTCTTAATAGTTTCATGCAACAATACATTCATGAGATATAACTAGAAAATTAATATCCCGGCGTGTGACTCTAACTGGCGACATTTTGGTCCAAAGCGCTGAATCCGTACACGTCACTTAACCACCTCGGCCATCCGGATGGAGCACGAGCTCTGCACTTCCATACACCACCAGTAGTTTATTTATTCACGGTTCGTTATTACATGCCAAGAAAAACATTAATTAAAATAATCGCGCGGGTTTTGAGAAAATAATTTTTTTTAGAAACTGCGTGCATTTTTAAGACTCTAATTAAACAAAATCCGCTGGTTTTTACAAAAATATGTACATGAATTTCTTTAAAGAGGAGATTTATTTACTACAGACTTCGTTTAAAGCAAAAAGATGAATGTTGTTTCTGTTTAAGCAACAACGCAATTTCATTTCAAAATGACAAAACGGTCGAAAAGTACGAAGATGTCGAATAGGACGAAAAGAACTGAATAGGACGAAGAGGTCGGAGACGAGACGAAACATTTCAGTGCCGTCTCGGTAGTTGAGGTGGTTAGAGGGTGAACCGACTCAGCGCCTCAGTCGGAATGGTCGAGGGTTCGAGTTCTGACGTGGGCATGGTTGTTTGTCTCATGTATGTCATGTATGTGTGTTGTCGCGGAAAGCTTTGCGAGCCTGCTGACCACAAACTGAGGAGCCCGCAAGTGTGTCAGTGTCTACTGTAAAGGCTAATATGTGTCCCCACGAGAGATATAGGATGCATAGTCGAAAATCGGCATTCCCTGAAGCTGGAAAAGTCTCTGCAAGAAAAAAAATACATTTCAGTAGTATTAAGTAAGTTTCCTACTTTTATTCACCTGCGAAACCGCTTATAAGACTAGTCAGGATACTTAAAAAAATATCGTCTTTCAGAAGCTCAATTTAGTTTCATAAGACACATTGCAGATTGCTCAAAAATAAACACGAAACATAAGCACGTGGATATGTGCCAGTTGCACACGGGAGTCGAATTTTGTACCGTCAGAAATTAACTGGAGACTTTTTAAATAATACAATATAAATTTAATTGATAAACCATTAACTAGTATATAAAATGTTTTCTTCTTACGTTAACACGAAAACACTGCCACCATAATTTAAATTAAAAACTTGAAATAAAGTCGTTTTTCGATCTAAATTTCTCCCCTTTCAAGTGTTTTCCGTCTTGCTTCTTCAATGGTTGAAGAGCGCGTACAAAAATTGCAGCTCCACCTCTGAATGAGGAAAAGTCGCACATCTTCCTCGTGGAACAGGAAAATCATCGCGCGCCTTCGATAAGGAAAGATAAGCCCGCTGGCTCTTCTTTCGAAGTGATAAAACTCTGTATGGGACATTTATCACCCGTAATAATTATTCTTAATTAATTTAGAAAATGGTATACTTCATTTCCAAAATTCCGTTGGAACTAGACGCAACAGATGAATGAAAACCAGTAATGTTGGTCTATCTGGCTAGTTCCACTATCTAGTTAGTTAAAGTGCAATAAAATACTATTTAATGTTTATAATGTTTAGATTCTCCCTCTCTCTCTCTCTCTCTCTCTATCTATCTATCTATCTATCTATCTCCCCTATAGAGTCGAACTAAATAGGAAAGTTTGCATAAATTTGATTAGCGTGGTGTTGAGATACAGCGGTGTCGCGTGGTGGAAGAGCCGAAGGTATGTTTGCTACAGAAAACCAACAGTATAATAGTCCGGTGTATTTATGTGTTAACATGTGTGCTCTTTTTGTATCTTTGGGTGATTAATATATGTTCGTTATTCAATTCGTGTCGTGTCGTTTTCCGTTAGTCATAAACATGAGATTCGTACATTTGAGGTTTCAGCGTACAAATTCGGGAAAAAGATTTGCTCGGATTGTCGGAACGTATAAGAAAAAATGAGGTTATCCGGACAGAATTGAAGCGGATATACACGAAACGAAGCAAGTTGTACATGTGTAATGACAGTCACGAGATCATTTAAGTTTTTTCGTATTTCAACGCGTATTCCGGTTGCAAGTCAAGACAAATGTCGAATAACAGAACAAAGAACAAGATGGCAGACAGAAAAGAAACAACAGCCGAAACAGGCATAAGCAAAATTGACAAGATGGGACAAAATGATGAGACATCAAAGCGTATTCCGCAGACAATCATGGATGGAGGATCTGTAATTGACATCAAAGAGATCGAAAAATTCACAATTGATCGGATACAAGAAGAAGTGGGGAAACTTAAGTTCCCGACTGATGGTAAGAAGCTACATCTGGCTGAACTGTTGTAAAACGGCAGCAATTTTCCTGGGGGTAACTAATGACTCGATGAATTAGGAGAACTATATCAAGAATCCAGAAGACAAAGGACAAACACATAACAGTGACTCAGAGAAAGAAAGTAACACAGAAATAAAAAAGCAATTGAATTCTGTAATTGGGTGCTTTTTTATTTATGTTAATTTTTCTTTCTGATCAAATATATTAATTTCTTTTGTAAATGAACATTTTACTTGTTTCTGTAGTGTTTATTGTTTTTGAAATGCAAACGCTTGCATAAAAAGTATTTTTTTAACCAACGTTTGAGTGCGAATTACGGCTCAACCATTTGAAATATCGACGGACTGTTAGAGAAAATATACTTAAATTTAACTTAATAGATTGTTTTCGAAGTTTCGTTGTTTTCTTCACGGACGCCTGTGTATATAGAACTTCTCGATATCCTTAGAAGTAAAAGAACGCAGAAATTCTTGGAGATCGTAGGAGGTGGTTCATGTGACGAACGGGCATCGACAGGTATTGAAAATAAAGATATGATGAGGAAGGGTATCGCGTGTCCCGTGTTCCGTTGTTTCAGGTACTGTTGTGAATCCGCATAATATTGATGTGAGCAAACCACGAAACCGACCAATCAACTAACCAGGCTTCACAAGTCTCTTGTGGCTTCCTTTTTTTGATTTCACGTCGTCGTATAAAAATTGTCCAAGTCTTTGAGCTACACTATGTAATCAAACGTATCCAGACACGTGGCTGAAAATGACTTGCCATCGTGGACTCGTGGCTTCCTCCATCGGTAATGTTGGAATCCAACAGGACGTTCGCCCACCCTAGGTCTTGATGACAGCTTCCACTCTCGCAGGCATACTTTCAATCAGGTGCTGGAAGGTTTCGTGGGAGATGGCAGCCCATTTGCTGGCAACCCACTGAGGAGAGGTATCGATGTAGGTCGGTGAGGCTTGGCACGAAGTACGCGTTCTAAAACACCCCAAAGGTATTCCATAGGATTCAAGTCAGGACTCTGTGCAGGCCTGTTCACTACAGGGATGTTCTTGTCGTGTAACCATTTCGCTAAAGGTCGTGCAGTAGGAACAGATGTTGAAAGATGTAATCGCCATACCTGAATTGCTCTACAACAGTGGGAAGCAAGAAGGTGTTTAAAACATCAACATAGGCCTGTGCCGTGATAGTGCTACACAAAACTAGAAAGGGTGCAAGCCCCTTTCATGAAAAACACGACCAAACCATAACACCATTTTGGATGAGTCCGGATACTTTTGATCGCATAGTGTATATAGGTTGGTCACTTGATTAAGTGAAAAGCTGGCGATAGCTGATATGAAACCAGATGGACGTCGGGCCGGTTTTCCTCGTGTCCATTTCCCGGAAGGGCCTCGGTCGCTCTCGAGCTGTAATGCAATGGAAGCGGATGGGCAGTGTGTCTATCAGGAGCCCCCCGCTCACTTTTCCATATCTCTTGAAAACTTGCAAATGCGCAGATTACCTCCACAAGTCCTAGATAACCCTTCAATTGCATTTAGTAATGAATAAGCTGCGGATTTGTAGTCACAAAATAATAGAAATATACAGGCAGATTAGGTATTTAAAAATGCAAAGTAGACATTTAAGTAGAGATGCTACAGAATGACACAGATGTTCTCGTACTAATTAGTTTGCTATTTTTTTGGCCAGTTCTAGCTTTTCGTTCGTACTCCATCCTTTTGCCAGCTGCCATCGATTGACGCCCAAACATCATTTTTTCACTTTTTTTCAATATTTCGTTTTCCTATCGGTGAAACCGAAATATTACTTTATGAATATAACAGAAGGGTAAAACATGTTCTATGTGGACATTTTCGTTGAAAAAATTTGTAGACAGTTTTTTCGAAAATGGCGTTCAAGTGTTACTCTATATTAGAAATACGCAGCTTTTTTACAGAACACTATGAGTTTTCGAAAACGTTAACTGCTAGTTATTTGAAGTGCGTCTTCTCACCAATGAAATAATGTGTACAAATTGCTGGAAATGCGTATTTGAAGCATGCGAGATAATTAAAAAAAATACATTTGTATATTTCTTCAAAACGCAAAAGAAAAAATGTATTTTCATTCATCTTAAAAAGTGCAATTAGCACTATCTGTACGAAACGATTAAATAAAAAAATTGAAACCGACGGACGGACAACCGGATTGACGGATGGACAACCGAACAGACGGACGGATGGACAACCGAACAGACGGACGGATGGACAACCGAACA